GCTAAGACGGAACCCAGTCACAAAAATGGCCACGGGAGTCGCTAATCGGCTTGTTCCGGAATAACACGAGTTGGTGACGAATGAGGACACATTCTACCCCGGACTTTTCAACACATGAATACGGAAGCAAACATAAGATAATATATATCAAATCAATATATGTTAAGAGTGTGCTATTAAATCGCTAGAGAGTACAATTTACGGATCACAAATTCTCTAGCAATGGGTGTAAAGACACTTGACAACGACGACCGCCGGATGGTGACGGAAGCCGGATAATCAAAGGATTTGGGAGCGTATGGTCACAAGATCGTTACTAGACTGGTTTTCGACCCGGTGACAATACAAAAATACCTATTATTATTATTTGTACTGCAGGCTCCAACTCCATTAGAGAATTGTGGTAACCCATACAGGAATAACGAAACACCATTCCCTACAATGTTTTGTTTTGTTTGTTGTTTAACGCCGCACTCAACAATATTCCAGCTATATGACGGCGGTCTGTAAATTTTCGAGTCTGGACCAGACAATCCAGTGATTATGACATCATGAGCATCGATCCACGCATTTGGGATACGATGACATGCATCAACCAAGTCAGCGAGCCTGACTACCCGATCCCGTTAGTCACCTCTTGCCACAAGTATATATAGTCACCTCTCTATAATGTAATACCATTATAAAACTATCGAAAGTGTTAACATATTCACGTTTTTCATCCACATTCGTTCCCAAACGATTACTGAACGACATATGGAGAAACCATAAATTCTCGTTTTCAAAGTTCATATTAATACCTAGCTTAGACTGACATATAGCCTATTAAATATGTCATTGCACATACATGTCTCTCCTCTAAACATACTGATGCTGAAGTGGAATAGAGCAGGTGCTCTCTAGACTTGACTTTTTCTCTTATATATACATATATTCAAGTCATGGTGCAGGACTACGTTTATAAGTCGAGCTAAATGACACGTGTCTATTTACAGCGCTCTTGTCAAATCTCATCACGATAACTCAAGTGCGGGGCGTGTTTCGCCGCTCCTCGCAGCACACCGGTCATAAACATGAGTCTTAAATTACAGCAAGACTAAGGTTCAGCTATGTGGGGAGACGAGCCCATGTGTGATGAACAACCCCATAAATCCCTTATTATCCCAAATATATATAGAAACGGGTTCCGTCCGTCCGCCCGTCCGTCCCTCCCTCCCTCCGTACGTCCGTCCGTCACGTTTCGTTTCCGGAGCCTCACTCAGAAACCGTTCAATATTTTTTCATGAAACTTTGCAGGTCTGTCAGGTACATGCTGAACTGGTGCCTTTTGCTATTTAGAAATTTTAGAAAATTTTATTTTTTACGTTTCCATGGCAACAAGATGGACTTAGGTTCTGTGAGGGTAGGGTTCGTTTCCGGAGCATAACTCAGAAACCGTTCAATATTTTTTCATGAAACTTTGCAGGTCTGTCAGGTACATGCTGAACTGGTGCCTTTTGCTATTTAGAAATTTTAGAAAATTTTATTTTTTACGTTTCCATGGCAACAAGATGGACTTAGGTTCTGTGAGGGTAGGGTTCGTTTCCGGAGCATAACTCAGAAACCGTTCAATATTTTTTCATGAAACTTTGCAGGTCTGTCAGGTACATGCTGAACTGGTGCCTTTTGCTATTTAGAAATTATAGAAATTTTATTTTTTACGTTTCCATGGCAACAAGATGGACTGAGGTTCCAAACTCTTCTTTTTTTACAATTTCCATGACAAGTTCCACCTTGGTTAAAAAAGGTTAGGGTTTGCTTAGATTTAATTATTTCATAAATTCTGCAACAGGGGCGGGGGATATAGCCACGTTAGTGGCAAACTCTTGTTTTTATATGCTTGCTCCCTGTCCCATATTTAATGGTGACTTCGAGGTTCCAGTTAAAACACAGGTCTCAAGCATCTAAATGGATCGGGCGGCCAGGCTCGGTGGCCTATCAACCAGTTCGTGGCAAACGAATGATGCTACTGAATACAACATGTATGTATAGAGGTGAAGGTGAACATCTCTTGGAGAGTTATATTATCACATGTTTGTTATTTAACGCCGCACTCAGCAATATTCCAGCTATATGACAGTGGTCTGTAAATAATCGAGTTTGGGACAGACAATCCAGTGATTGATATCATGAGCGAGCTGCGCAATTGGGATACATTGACATGCATCAACCAAGTCAGCGAGCCTGACCACCCGATCCCATTAGTCGCTTCTTACGACAAGCATAGTCACCTATTACGGCTAGCATTGGTTGCTGAAGATCTATTCTATCCCGGATCGCCACGGGTCAGTTATCACATGAACAAAGCGTGTAATCACGTTATAGCCAAGTACCAGTGATTCTCGCAAACACATCGAGGTGTCCGTAGTTCGGGACAAGCGGAGGGCCAGTATCATTCGTCACCACTCGTCCCTTTCCGTAACCTGCAAGAAGACTCGTCCCCCTATCGATGAATGTTATGTGCGAAAATACGACAAACCAATCAGAATGCGCGTATGATTTCGAGTTCTTTGTCAAATAATCCCTCAGAAATAATTTTTGATTTTACATATGTCTTGCACCTAAAAATATACTCAAGACAGTTAAATGTGTTCAATCATACTGTATAATTCCGCACATCCCGATGTGCATTAAATTGCATCTGAAATATATACAATATATGGGGAAATATATGTGAACCATTACGCAACGAGTTCACAATTGTTTTAGGTATGCCCGTTTGCGATAAGACGGAACCCAGTCACAAAAATGGCCACGAGAGGGGCACGAGTCGCTTTTCGGCTTGTCCCGGAATAACACGAGTTGGTGACGAATGGGCCAGTATTTGACCACAGCGCTGAAAGACATGCCCATGGGATCATTAACTTACTTCGTATTAAACAACACACCGAGTTGTTCGTATTTCGAGACAGGCGGAGTGCTTGTATTTGCTCACAGCGCTGAAAGACATGCATGTCTCCGGGATCATTAAGTTATGTATATGCATCGTCTTAAATAATACATCGAATGAATGATTTTCCAGTTAACGTGGTTGCATATATGTAGATTGCTAAGATTTCTCTCGGTGTGAAACAAGGCTGCATTTTAAGCCCTCTCCTTTTCTCTTTCTTTATCAACGAATTGTCCCTTGAAATCCAACAAAACGGAAAACACGGTGTCCAACTTTATCCAGATATGTATGAATTGCTAATATTACTTTTCGCAGACGATGTTATACTTATTTCTGATACTGTTAATGGGCTTCAAACACAAATAGACATATTGTTTCAGTATACCATCTCCTGGAAACTGACTGTTAATACAGATAAAACGAAAATTGTTGTTTTTAGAAAGGGGGGTCCTCTTGCATCCAGGGAAAAATGGTATATAAATGGGCAACAAATTAATGTTGAAAAAACTTATAAATACCTTGGTGTCATTTTTCCTTTTAATCTGAAACTAAATCACCTCGTCAACGATCTTGCGCTACGAGCTAAGAGAGCCCTCATTACCTTATTTGTTGTTCTTGATAAACTCGGTGTGTCTTCCCCGTCTGTTTTCTTCAAACTTTTTGATTCTCAAGTTAAACCAATTCTGTTATATGGTTCAGAGATTTGGGGTCTCGAAAAATATCACATCTTGGAAAAAATTCACTTAACTGCTTGTAAACGATTCTTAAATGTTGGCAAATTGCCCCCAAATTGTATGGTGTATGGTGAATGTGGAAGACATCCCTTATATATCTATTCTTATGTACGCGGTCTAAAATATTGGTTAAAGATTATAGAAATGTCACCTGATCGTATTCCACGTAAATGTTATGAAATGCTGAAATACCGCGACAATGTTGGTTATATAACATGGGTCACTAAAATCAGACAACTTTTATTTCTTCATGGATTTGGATATGTTTGGATTAACCAAGGTGTTGGAGATAAGACAGCATTTCTTAGTGTATTTAAACAAGTTGCATCTGATATGTTTATCCAAGAATGGAGAGCTACATTCGAAAATAGTTCAAGATACGACCTTTATAAAACATTTAAATCCTGCTTATCTCCAGAACAGTACTTAACAGAAATAACAGACAGAAAACTTAGAGTGTGTTTTACACGTTTTAGATTAGGTTTGAACAATTTAGTATGTAATACGGGTCGTTTTTCCTCAGTTTAAAAAAATATGCGTTTTTGTCCTTTTTGCCCCACATTTATTGAAAACGAATACCATTTTATGCTTATCTGTCCATGTTATGAATCGCTCAGAATAAATATTTCCAAGGCTTACCCCAAAACATCAATACACTAATCAAGCTCCTCCGTTTTGATGAAATATCTAACGAGCAACAAAAGAATACTATCCTATACATTAATTATGGTTTACGACTTCGCAACCGTCTTTGTACAAATGATGTTTAATTATTCTTTAGGTTATTTGTCTTCATTAATCAAATGCTTTTATCTCTTCTTGTTGTGTTGTGTTGCGACTTATTTTTCACAAAATTGTACACGTGCACATCTCTGTGCATATAAGTCTGCATGTTTATACTTCTACATGTACAAAATTGTATATATATAATGTTACTGTATGTATATGGGCTTATGGCCAGAATACAATAAATGATGATGATGATGAAGATTTCTCTCAAAAGATTACATTTCACAAATATCTTCTGATAAAACAAGCAACTATAAGCAATGTAATCAGCTATTTTTAAAAACAAATACCTTCTAAGTTCCTAGATGATTTGTAAAATCACATCTACGTCATTTTAGATCCCAATAACATGACATGTTTTCATACGACGTCTGTTACCTGAACCCATCGCCCTACTGTAATGAAAGCCGAAAACATTAAAGTATAATGCGCACTCGACACAGATGAATGCACGTGACATCGCATGGATTGCTCAAGTCCCTGTGGAGCCACCCCCCACTTACGTATTATATGTCTAGCCCTATTGTAAAGATCCATTCATTGAGACAACTGAACGTTGCCGGGGTGACACGCCACAACTCCCGCCATCCTCTGCGACTTGAAATAGAGGCGTGGTCGCAGAACGAGGTACGCTACGTTCAGTCGGTGTTGCCGTCAGAAGAGATAGGCTGTGTGTATATTATTGAACCGGAGCACGGAGTATATACATTCGCTGGACGAACTGTAACAACTCAGGTGAGATTAGCCCGCGGTGTTTGAACTGTTCGATATGACAGTCAATGTTAATAGTATTTAATATGTAGACAGTAAAATAATCTGAGAAAGGATTTTGATATTTTGGACCCCTCCCTTTTAAAAATGCTGTATCCGTCCCTGTTAGGGATTATGTTGCTGAACAAGCCGATGTCATTCAATAATGAACACATTCAACGAGGTGCATATATAGGCGTAGCACACTCTTGTTCAATGGTAACCTGTTAGTCATAATGTGATAATCCGGTTGCGGACCTATTGGCAATGCGACAGTCTGGACAATTTGAGCTGCCATATGTTTTAGTGGATATATAAGTTGTTAAATCTGATATAAATTTGGACAGAGCGGTATCGAAAACGTCAACCCCGATCTTGAATCCGGCCATTGCCTGTCGTAAATTTCAGTTAAAAGCAGACGGGACAAGGCGAACGCTGCTGGTCCGGCCACTGCATGTAAGCGGCGATCTGTTTGCATATGTATGTAAACATCGACTGTTAGTAAGAGACAAATACAGGGAATCGTCAAGCTTTGCAGGCAGGGCGTATGTTCCCATCACTTTGCCAAACGGTCCATTATCGAAGCAAGACCGGCAAATGATATACAGGGGTAATGAAACTGCTAATTACATCTAGCCCGGGGGAGGTAGGAGGTCTGCACTACCGGTAGTTATAGTAGTTATAGCTGGCCCGGGGTGGTTTAATCACACCCTGCTGTCGCGCATTTTAAGGGGTGGGGTCAAGTTGCGTGGGAAGCACCGTTGAGTGATCAAACCTTCGCATTACCCAGTATGGGATTATTTAACAACATACCCGTTTATGAGACCCCCCCCTCCACACACACACACACACGCACACAACCACACACCCCACCCCCACTCCGCACACACACCACCGCTCACACACCACCCCATTACGACGCAGTCGTGATAGACTCGGTCGGGTATTGTTCAGTAGGAGACACGAAAGTATTGTCGTTGATTTGGGCACGTTACACGTGACTACCTTTCTATGTCAATGGCGTATATTCTGGGGTGCTTTTAAAACTACGTGAATCATTGCTTCCCGCTGGCATATGATATACGGAAAAGAGCTACTGGTTAAATACATCCTAGTATTTTCAGGTATGTTTTAAGAAGAAAGCATGCAAGGGTGTCTGTTTGCAACACGATTCTACTAACGGCGCCCATTTCTGTCAGGACAGGATACGCCCATTTGGTTTTATGACTGACAGCGGCCGTTGTACACAAACATAAGAAAATCAATTATCACAAATGTTCAATATTCATGCAACACGATTATAAAGAACGATACAATTGTAAGCGCGGAACTGCGTTCACAAACAGATATAGTTACATTTTAACAGCTTCAGCTGATCACAAATGAGACGGCCATTGTCGTCGCGTAACCAGCTGGAACATTTAATTTATCAGATATATAAAGGTCCCGGATGTTTATTTCAATCATTCTTTTTGATCTCTCAAATGACGTTATTTATTAGAAATGTGGGTAAGTTAGATGGATGGGTGTTTGAGGGTGGAATGGATGGATGGCTGGGTGTTGATTTGTCGATATCGTGACACTAGATATGCTGAGTCATACTTGGTAGCTCTCCATTATCAAAGTATTTTTCAACTTAACATAATCTCCAGCTCCGCTTACTGTTGTAACTCCTTGCTATGTCGCCACCAATCGCCCACAGCATACTCTGTCTTCACCCCTACACGTAACACCATAGCTGAACCAGTGTCAAAGGCCGTATGATGACCTATTATGCATTAAGTGATGACACACTCTATGAACCTATGCTGGGTGTGGGTGAGTTAGGTTTAACACCGCTTTTAACAATATTCCAGTTATATCACGGCGTGTCAGCTTACTGTGGGAGGAAAGCCCGAAGTGATACGGGTCTCAGACGTTTACCACTTCGGTGGAACCCACGAGCACTGGTATGGTGCTGACAATGCTAGAAACATAATCGGGGCGAACCGGGATTCGAACATTAGTTTCTGGCGTGCCCAAGGGGCGCAACTCTGCTCAGCGAATCGCGGCGCCTTAGACGACTGGGCCACCCGTGCCCCCAATGCCAATGAACCTATGAAGGTCACTGAGAAAATACATAATAAATACAACATTGGTGTTTCTAATCAAAGAACATGTTTATGTGTCCCCTCGTGAAAATATAAGCCTAATCATGTCACCTCAGGGGGTGAAAAACTTATTTGTTAATAAAGGGATATGATCCGTGTATTGCTTCTGGCAGTCTGTATACTCATCAAACACAATCAATACATGTCTCATACAGAGCCAAGCCCTGTGTGCATTACACTTAAGTATGATTTATATACGTATTGTTTGTATCAGAATATCGGTCCCGGTTCGCCCCGATTGTTTCTAGGTTTGTCAGCACCATACCCCTGCTCGTGGGTTTCACCGAAGTGGGGTAAACGTCTGAGACCTGCATCACTTTGGGCTTCCCCTCCGCATTAAAACAGGCAGGTGACCAGTAGTTTAGTAGGACATAGTTATTTGTCAATATTACAGATACATGTACCCTGATAATAGGATATATACCCACAAAGGGCTGAATGCGTGATGCCGTGTTCTGTAAAACAGATTGGACGTATCCAATTATTTCAAAGTTGCAGAACACTTACTCTTTATTTCTTGTTTAACGCCGCACTCAGCAATATTCCAGCTATATGACGGCGGTCTGTACATAATCGAGACTAGGCTTGGCATCACATGCATCGATCTCCGCATTTGGGATTCTATGACATGCATCAACCAAGTCAGCGAGCCTGACCAGCCGATCCCGTTAGTCGCAAGCATGGGTTGCTGAAGACCGAGGCTTACCCGGATCTTTACGGGGTAGATCATTTGTTGACAGGTTTGTTTGTTTGTTTGTTTGTTGTTCGCCGCACTCAGCAATATTACAACTATATGACGGCGGTCTGTAAATAATCGAGTCTGGACCAGACAATCCAGTGATTAATATCATGAGCATCGATCCACGCAATTGGGATACGATGACATGCATCAACCAAGTCAGCGAGCCTGACCACCCGATCCCGTTAGTCGCTTCTTACGACAAGCACAGTCGTTTTTTACGGCAAGCATGGGTTGGTGAAGACCTATTCTGCCCCGGATCTTCACGGGTCTGCTGACAGGTGTTATTACACCTATAGATGTCCAGCATAAGCTTCTCTGTTTTGCAAGACTTAGTTTCTCAGACGAACATCTCTTCATTGTTTTAGTGCTCTAGGTAAATGAAAGAAATGCAAATATAATTTTACAGCGGCTAGTCGTCGCAAGGTAGTTTACTAGTCAAACTTGTTACGTTATATGTAGCCAATACAATCAGCCTGGGCCCCGTTCCTCAAAGCGATCTTAGCACTAAGGTGATCGTAAGTCCCATACTCTAACATAGGTTTACGATCATCGTAGCGCTAAGATCGCTTTGAGGAACGAGGCCCTGAGGTTATGCAGAGTACTGGTGGATCACTGGTGTTCTAGTCATGCAAGGTATCGCATGCTTCGTCATTTTCATGAAGGTCAGTGACATGTAAAAAAAGTGAAGTTATCCCAGTAAAACCCTAGACCACATGCAGCATCTAAGTAGTGGTACAGTGGCTAGTAAATGTGTGATGTTATACACAAGGCCACCATTCCGAATATCCGTCAATTGCAATTGTATAAATATTACTCATAATGTGATTTCAATGCCCACATAAACATAAACCATGATGAGATTCGCGTAAAAGCCTGCTCATGACATAAACTCATATTTTTCATAAATAACCACGAACATTTTATGCAGTACTTATTTATAAAGACTCGCTTGGCATTGTCCTCGATCTATTTAACAGACATTATATATTAATACATATGAAAATCAGAATTTTTTTTGTTGAATACAAATTTCAAAGCGCACTCGCTCGCTACAACGACTACCGTACACAAAAAGTCGTGATATTTGAACCGGAATATACGGTATTGTATTTAATTGCCTGAATAACGGGATGAAATATTCATAATTGTGCTGACTGTGTTTTATTTGTAGGATAAGAAACATCTGTTGCAATTGTCTGATTGGTAATTACTGATTCAGTAAATACATACGGATAATAAGTTTTATAATGCATATAAATTTTGAAACTGAAACTGTTATTTAACAGAGCAGATAATAACTAGTATTCGCTGAAATAGCATAGAGCTATAGGGTTTAACTAAAAGTCACGATACAGCATGTTCCGAAACCAACACTGAAACACTTTAAAAACGCATATTCGAATTTTTGCAATATCTGGCAAAATGGCCACAAAAATTAAATTGAGGTTTTTTTTCTGTGTATGTAGGCAAACACATCAACGTGGGAGTTCGGGTTCGAATCTCAGTCAATGTGCTTCGGGATGGACTTGATCGCAATTGCACAATGGACACAAGTAGCAGTAATGGGATTAAAATCTTCTGACTTGCGGAGAATATTAGCGATATAATTCTGAAACGATATCCGAAATTTACAAAAGCCCTTGAATATTTGATTTATCTGATAAGTAAGCTATGTACAATTCAGCCCTTAAAGAAGATTTTACTTGTAGTACGAGCCGACTAAATAGCACGAGTAGTCAGGTCTTGGTCAGGTCATTTAAAAAAAATATATTTCGAGTTTCCACAGCAACGACTTTGACTTACGGTACGCTGAAAATGGCGGGAGTACTCGTTTCCGGAGCAGATCTTGAAAACCATAAAATATTTCATTATCAAACTTGACACATACATGTAGATAGGTCTAGTGATGAACTGGTGCCTTTTGATATTTTGGGGTTTCTTTCAATAAGATATTTTTTCAGTTTCCATATCAACAACTTTGACTTAGGGGCTAATGCCTTGCACACTACCGGACATTTTTCTTCTGTGGTGAACATGTTGTTCAGTATGCTTGTACTTATAAGTATCTGGGATTGGTTTTTAATGAACATCTT